GAATGAGTGCATGCTTGTGATTGTGAATCAGCATGTGCTTGTGATTGTGAATGAGTGCATGCTTGTGATTGTGAATAAGCACGTGTGTGATTGTGAATGAATTGTGCTGTGAACTCGTATTTGCAGAACCTCCTGCCAGGTGTATCTTGTTACTTCAAAGAACAAACCTCTCAGCTCAGTTTCTCCCTCTATCTCGAACCCTTGTTTCTCTCTCTTGTCCTGTGTCTCACTGTCCTCACGTCACCACATCCTTCTCTTCCAATCTTTTTTCTCTCTCCTCCTCCTGACTGACTTTTTACTTTTCCTTCATCTGTCTTTGTGTCTTGGCTGCACCTCACTCCCTCGTCCTTGTCACTCGTGTTTCCCATCATGCCTCGCTCTCTCTGCAGCTCTGTTTTTATAACCCTTGTCTTCCCTCCCCTCTCTGTTTCAGGGTGTTCTGGTGCTCTCTGCTCATGTGATTCATCACTGCTGCCCCCACCCTCCTGTTCAGGAGATAAGCAGCAGTAACATCAAGAACACTGCCTCCCTCCTTTCAACAGCATCTCCTGATTACATAACTCACTCCATCGGCATAGCAACCGTCACCTGGCAACTGCAGCCCTGCAAAGAAAATTGCCTTTATGTGCTGAGCAATGAGGACTTTTTATTTTTGGCACTATTCTGTGCTGTGATGCTCTGCATGGCTACTGATTTAGGGAGAAAGAGCCGTGTGATACAAGCATACTAAACCCTAGTCCACTGTCAGTACACTGAGCCTAATAGAGAACAGATGGAGGTAAATGAAGACAATCTGTTCTGTACATTATCAGACATGAGACAGATAGGGAGGGGGTTGATAATGCCGATATGTGGGCTGACTGGACACTACAGCCCTTCAACACTGCACTGATACAGACCACGCTGACTGGACACTACTGCACTGATACAGACCACGCTGACTGGACACTACAGCACTTCAACACTGCACTGATACAAACTTGAGGACAACCTGAACAATTTATACAGTGAGTGAGATGGAAGAGAAGAATAAATATTGTAAACTGTGCAAAAGGCATTTAAATAAGACTGGGATAAGCACTGGTGAGAGATGGTTAGCACTGCAGTGATGATGTAATGTTTTGCAGCTAAGGAGAGAACCGAATCTTCATGGGTGAAGTTATACTGCTGTTCTGGAGGAGTGGTTTAGTATATTTCCCTCCACCTCTCAGTAGTCTCTTGCCTCTTTCAAGACGTCAGCCTCTCTTCAGACAGCAGGGGCAGAGGAGGACTGAGCGATGGGGGGGAAGACACATCTCTCGTCTCTCCTGGTCCTGAGGGAGTTTTCATCCTGTCGGACCGGAGCAGGATGCTGTGGCCCTGCTCCCAGAGGAACCTCTGGAGGGGGGTCCTCTGGTTTAAAGTCCAGCCAAGGTCCAAACTCCCATGCGGAGCAACCTCTCTCAGATCTCTGCTCACCGACCAGTGGGATCTCCTCATAAACTAGAGGAGTCAAACTCCATTCCTGGAAGATCTAGCTCCTCCGGGTTTGTGGTGCAACCTGAGTAGTCAATAACACGATTAAACACAGTTCGCCTAAGAATATTCTTAATTCCACAGGTAAAGGATTTTACAATTGGTTACTAATAAAATGCACTCCAGGAAACATACAGGTACCTAGGTTGTAAAACACCATCACGCCTGGTTGGAGGTATTAACAGTTTTGTCGTGAATTAAACAATTCGATCAACTGTGTCGCTGAGCATTTGGGTGGAGCAGACCTAGAAGACACCTAGATGTTCTAGAGGAGTCTGACGCCCTGCTGTACACCTCCAGCGCTGCAGTCTGGACCCAGGGAGCCGGCCGGTCGTGGCCCTTTCTCAATCCCTGTGGTCTCAAGTCAAGGACACCCTGCTGGACCAGACTGCTTCCGTCCCGGTGATGGAGGGTGACGATCCACAGAGCCTCATGTTGATCCCAAACCTGGCCTCTCTGTGCCCAGCGCTGGCTGGCTTGAGGTCCACAGGGCATCTCCGTGCTCAGCAGGAGCTTCGGTTGAACTCCGAGTTTCAGGAGGCCTCTTAAACTGTTTTACCGATGCCATGTTCGAGTTGCAAGTATTTACCGATAGCAATGTCCGCCCCTTCGTTGTATGGGGGGGCTCAGTTAAATAATCTAGAGTTCTGCTGAGTCAGAACTTCAGGTTTCGGGTCAGGATTGGGAAGTCCAGCTTTAAAGACCGGGAGAACGCAGGAATCAGAAGGGCCAGTGGCTCCACAGCTGTGCTCTGGGTCCCCAGCGAAGACTGACCTTCAGAGCTCATACTGTGCCCATCCACTCCAGAATCTCCCCCCAGCCACCTCCTTAACTAGTTAAGCTGGTTAGCTTGATGAACATAACGATAGGCTATGGTAGGAACAGGAGGTCTCCAGGCTGAGTGACATTTCTGCCTAAACTCTGTGGATCCCAATTCTGCAAGTAGAGGACAAGTCCTGCAGTTCTGAATGGAGCAACGCATGTGCTTCCTCAGGTACAGCCAGTTGAGTTTAGAATTGTAAAGCATGTACTGCTGTAGCCCCTACTGTGTATGTGATTTATCTTGTCAAGGAGGAAAGTAGGCATTGAAACAAATTCCACGTGATCGGGTATACATTGTATCTGTGTGAGGATTTCCCTCTTGTTATCAGGACAGAATAAAGTGTTGCTAAATGCATTCAGTATTGAGATTCTTGGTATTACTGGCAGGACAGAGGCCATACGTGTGCCTGGGTGCACCTGGCTCAGGGTTCAGGCTGATGTGTGTCCAGGATAATTAAACTGTGCCTCCCCCCTACAAATGTCCTCACATTTTCAAACAGCACATCTTCCTACAACATGAGTGACCACTTGTTTAAGAGAACCTAAAAATGATGGGGCGGGGGTGGGGGGGGTTGCTTATAAAGATGTTGAAAACATTTGGACCAAACGGATAAGGTCGTTTTCTAGTCACCAGTAACAGACAACAACGGCTCATCTTCCACATAATCATTTATTAGAATATCTTGTTGATCACATCAGCGAGCAAAATATATTTTGTACAAGATCTTAGAGAATGCACAGGTATCGGAAAAGCCACAAGAATCTCAACCACAGAGTTTTCTTTTGTCCACAAAGTCACAGAATAGAGAGAGTGAGAGCGAGAGAGAGAGAGAGAGAGAGATGGGGGACCTAGGAGGTGAAAAGTGGTTCAGTCACGTGCAGGACATTCATTGGCCTGATTATCACTGACACGTAGGGCTCCCCTGCAGAGCTGGGGAGAGGACAGCGAAGAGCTAACAGGGCCAGGAGCGGATCGCCAACAGGACTGCCCCCGCTGTCTCAGAGTGTGCACTGCGGCGCTGTGCTGTCGGTGCTGCGACTGGATACACTGGGATACTGTGACTGAAGAGAGGCAGGAGGAGGGGACGGGTGTGGACTGAGAGGTTTTCCGCTCGTAATCCTATTTTTTCCGTCCCTTCCAGAAAGCACGAGAGTAACCTGTCCAACTAGACCAGACTCATCTTCCCTCTGCAGTACGGGCTGGGGCTCTGGCCCCAGTATACAGGGAACTGAAGGTGGGTATTTTATATCACGAGAAGCCTGGATGAGCCAAGATGGACGGTCTCCAGGCAGGCAGCTGTGGCGACTGTCGCACCAGTATGCAGCATCAGGGGCAATATTCTAGCAGGGAGGCTGGCCTGTCTGTGTCCGTGTTCCTCAGCTTTTAATGTCCCGCTGTACTTTAGTACCTGCTTTAGATCCGGAGACAGAGGCTAACAGGACCAATTAGGTGGTAATTGGTTAATTGCCTCGTTAAGGTCGAGTGGAATGGAACCTTTAGAAACACACCCCCCTCCAGCCGCACAGCTGAAGAGCAGTGCTCTACATGCATTACTCCATGTGCAACAGTTTATTCTGGGTGACTGGCCGGTGTATTTTTTATTATGAAGTGCCAGCAAATGTTTGGAGGAGGAACACCATATAAAAACAGACTTTATTGCAGTTGTATTTTACAAATGGGCCACTAGTTCCCTGCTGGGCACCTGGTATCTGACTGTTGGAGTGTTGTGTGCAGCAGGAGATGACTCTGTTAAATGCATGTCTCCTGCCCTGTGTTTTCTGCAAGGGATGGATTGGAACAGAACTACACTGCTGAACTGATGTATGGAGCCAGGGGCTTGAGGAACAACAGGGTGACTTTGCGAAAGTAACTTTGCTGTTTTGTTTTTTTTCTCCAGCGCCACAATTTACTCTACATAGTTTAACGAATTAAAAAAAACAAAACAAAACTCACTGCTTATTTTCCAGGTTACATTGAAAGCGAAAGAAAAGAAGTCTCTCTGACAAACCTACATGGCGTCCCTGCCTTCTGTGTGCATTTTTCAGAAGATCAGGGGATGGCTGATGACGCTCTGGAGGAGAAGAATCTTTCTACCAGTCCCCCTGTGAGTTAGTATTGGGTGTGAGGTGGCAGCTCCGGGTGACTGGAGTTACCTGCACTGGCTGTCCCTGCCCCGGGTGTAACGTCAGTCACGGCGGAGTTGCCCCTGCGCGTGCGTACATGCGTGTGTGTTGTGTTAATCTGAGCTGTTTCTTCCCCTCCCCCCCCCCCCCCCCCCATGTTACTCGGGCAGGTACTGTAGGATCCGCTGTGCGAGGAGGTCGGGGTCATAGGTCACGGCTCGCCTCTTGCGGGCCGGCCTCCCGCCTCCCTGCAGCTCGCTGTCGATGCGCTTCATCCTCTGCAGCCCGGCGCGCGCGCCCCCCGCCGCCGCCGCCCTCTCCTCTTCCTCCTCCTCCTCCTCGTCCCCCAGCCGCTTCACGCGCAGCAGCGACGGCTCGACCCTGGGGGACGGGGGAGCCCCGTCGTCCAGCGAGCGGCGGGGCCTCTTCAGGGGGGGAGTGGGGCGGTCGCCGGCCGCCGCCAGGTCCCTCTTGGCCAGGCGAGAGGGGGTCTGCTGGGGGGTCTCCGACGCCAGGCTGGATAGGACCCGCCCCACCAGGTACCTGCAGGGGCAGAAGGTGAGAGAGCATCACTCCTCTGGTCTCTGCAGCTCAGCTGCACAGGTGAAAGGGGTGTTAGTGGGACCAGTAGGGGGCGCTTAGCGATGGGGACACTTAAACCAAGGTCCTGACTCTGTGTGGTCATTAAACATTCTGGGGTGTTTCTCGAAAAGAGTAGGGGTGTTACCCCAGAGTCCTGGCCAGATTTCCCCCTGGCCTTCTCATGGGCTCCTACTAACCCCCCTCTCTGCACTGGCTTCATCACTCTGCTCTCCTCCCCACTGAGAGCTGCTGTGTGGGGAGAGGACTGGCGCATCATCCAGGTGGGGCTGCCCACTGGTGGGGGTGGAGGGGATCCCCATTTCCTGTAAAGCGCTGTGAGTGGAGTGTCCAGAAAAGCGCTATGTAAGTGTAAGCAATTATAATTATTAGTAGTAGTCGTAGGAGGCAGCCCACCTCGTTGTCTGTATCCACAGCACAGAACCAGTACACCTCTCTTGCCCCCAGGGGTCAGTCTCACTCCCTCCACCCCTCCCTCTGGCTTGCGGGCTGGCCTGCACTCACCTCAGCACCTCCTCCTCCCCCTCCTCGCCGCCCGGCCCCCCGCTGCGGCTGTCCGCGGTCAGCAGTCTGCTGGTGGGGGGCAGACTGGCCTGCCTCAGCCTCTCCTGCCTGTAGCGGTTCAGCAGAGCCTGGGTCAGCTGGGGGTCCAGAAGGCCCTGCCAGGCGGCCTGGGGCTTGTCCATGCTGAGCCCCTGCTCCGTCTCGTCGTAATCGGGGGGGTAAGGGCCCTGAAAGTCTCCAGTCTCCTCCAACCCCAGCTTCTGGGGGGCTCCGTAGCTCTCACTGAGGAGGCGGAGCAATCCGGCAAGGTAGATGGCCTCTTGGTCCCGCCTCCTGTCGTCATCGACCAATTGCTGCAACGCCTCTCCTACGCCACGCCCCTTCCAGCCCTCCAGTCCGGTGCCCGGTTGGTAGAAGATCTCGTTGTTCCGCCCCTCGCTCCCCAGGCCCGCCCCTGGAGGAGGGTATGACATCACCATCTGGGCCTCGTAGGGGAGCGAATCGCGTAGCTCCCTCCGCATCCGCCCGGCTCCGCCCACTTCCTCTGTGCCCCACCCACTGCGAGGGCCGCCACTGGACAATGGCTGAGAGAGGGAGAGAATGGGGGAACCTTATTTATTTATTCAGCTCCAGATAGAATTTATGCTCCTCAAAATTTGTTTGAAGACTTTTTACTCCCCAAAAAATGAGTCTCTAAAGGAATGTAAGAGACAATGCAGAGGCAGAAAAGACAACATGCATTTTTACCGTGGGCTGGCACACACTCGTGCGGAGTCACTTAATGAGGGACTTGGACCTGAAGGAAGACCGTGCCGGTCGGGGCCAGTCAGAGCTCAGACGGGTGTCCACCCTGACTGATTCAGCAGGGCTGATTGCTCAGGTAGTAGTCATAAACAGCATTGACAATGGACACCCATCCAACCACATTCCAACCACTTCACCCAGTACAGGGTCTGGCAGGGGGAGCCAGAGTCTATCCCAGCAAGCAATGGGCGCAAGGCAGGGCGCGCCCTGGACAGGACGCCAGTGCGTCACAAGCTAATGGACAGTCACCTAAAAGACAGCAACAGCCGGCGCTTCGGTAACTGTCCTGCTTTTGAAACGGATCTCGTTCTGCTGTCACAGTCTTCTTCCCCAGTGCCCTGTCCCACCCTGCCGCGCTGCATCGCGTTCCCGCTCCCTCTGCAAACTCGGCTCTGTTGTTAAAGGCTTCTGCAGGCGGTTTGAGCTGTGAGCAGGAGCCAAGCCAGGGTGTAGGTGTAGGTTTATGCCCTTCCAGAACCCTGCTCGCCCCAGATCAATCCTCCCTGTCCTTTTCACTGGTTCGTTCACACGCAGGACCAGCCACTCCCAGCTGTGAAGTCTCACCTCCCAGTAGCTATTCCTCTAAATAAACCCTGCAGTCTAACATGTGGTGGCTGTTAAACTTCTGGTTCAAATATCTAGTGTTGTCGTTATCTGAAGGAATCTGCATGTGTTAAATTGTATCGTGAAACATGTCTTTGCATGGTGACTGGGAACAATCCTTTTGCACACTTTCTCTATGCACCAGAGGGGATTCAGGATAGTCCCCTGGTCGTACTGCACTCTCTCTCCCGCCTCATTCCCAAACCGGGCTGTAGAGGTACCTGTGTCCAGCGGTCAGAGCTCGTCTTGGACAGTCCCAGCCTGGCTTTGATGGGGGGTTTTATTAGAGCAGGAGACAGGCATGGACAGCTAACTGTATTCTGTTCATTGTCTTTCCATCTCTGACCACCTTGCCTCAGGGCTGAAATAGGTTAGGTCTGGTTTCAAGGTTACTGTCCTCAGAATTTAGTCAGAAAGGCAAGGCTTAGTGTGTTTTACTGCATGTTTCACTGTCCTGTGCTTCTCGGTATTAATAGGATTTTCTGAGAATAGATTGAAAGCGAGGCAGAACTGTACACATTTCCTACACTTTGACTCAAACACTGCATTAATAATGGAAGAGAGCTGCTTCTTTCACCCCCCCTGCTCCCTCTCCAGAGGTCTGGGGTAGTAAGAGATCTCACCCTGAGTGCATCTCACACACACAGCTCTCACTCTGCACACCCTCAGACACACA